CTGAGTTGACTTCCCGGTATAGGTGACCTTGACAAGCTCGTCGGGAACTCCTAGCGTGACGAGAACTCGGCAGAGGGTCTGTGCAAAACCCCCGAGCTCACGTAGGTCGAAGGTAAGCTTGGCGTGGTCCAGAGGTAGCGGTCCTAGAGGCGGCCATTCGACGTTCGTTGCCATCTGCATGTTTTAAGGAACAGGTGTTAGTAGGTCATTAATTAGATAAGCCTTGCATAAAAGTAAATGCAGGGTCGGTATATAACCGAAAGAAGGGTTGTCCACGTCCTATTCTATCATCCATTTCTAAGGGTTTCGTCCTATGGTCGAGTATGGCTCTGATACCAACTGAAACAACCCCGAATTCCATGAAGGGAAATCCACAGAGTCAATGTGTAATAAGACCATTGTAGATCATATTACCCAAATTCCAGTCGAATATCACATCCATACAACGATAATATCAGAGTACAATAGTGTGGAATTACATAATTTATTACATCGCCGCATTGGCGGAATCAAAAGTAGCATTCATTCAGAATAGCTTGAAGATAAGATCGCCAAACTCGAGCATATGAACGAACCCCTCAACCGTCAAACTCCTCGGAGCTATTCTCCTCAGCAGAACCTGTGTGCCAAAATTTATCAGTACGAATTGTACTGGCCACTCCCAACCCTATGAGCATTGCTTTGTGGAAATTGGATGCAAATTGGTTATAATCAAGAGGAACCTAAAAGGCTGGGGTTTCCTATGCATTAACATACCAAGTACATAATAATAGTTGGTCAAGTTTTAACACCATTCTCACACATTCCACCCCATTCCCATTCCAGAGCCAGGTTTTGATCCTGGGATCGATAAACCACCATCTCCACACCATCACCATACCACAGCCATACCATAGCTCAGTCGATAGGCCAACTCCCTCTCGGCACTGTCTCAAGGCCCTCCGAACACTCACTCCCGGGGGAGAATAGAAAGACTCATCTCACTATCTAGTTTAAGCGAAACCCAGGAAAGGTCCATAGCCGACAAGTCGGCATGTGTATCGATCGATCAACCATACACTCTGCAGAGGTTTTACATAACCACAGCTGATTCTGGCCGCTTGCTAGCCTAGGATAATGCCACTCTACCATTCAGCCCTGGTACACCCCAAGTCCGGTCTGGGGTGGCTGAAACTGTGAGTCATGAGCCGAGTCCACAAGGTCTCCATGAAGTCTCGGAAGGGTGTGGGGGAAATCCTCCACACCCCGTACCTCCCTCACACTGTCCGCTATCAACCTAGTAGTAGTGGCAATACCCTACCTAGTAGTCCGGCCGTCCCGCACCATGTAGGGCGAGTGGTACGTAAGGCTTCCCGGTGAATCTGAGTACTAGTAAGTCCTTAGGGATGACCAAGCCGGAATGTCTTCATCAGGGTTTCCTTTTACCGTGCCACCACAGCACCTCCACCCTGGGCTCCTCCCATCACAGGATCACACCCAAGGCCACCTCATATACCATTTACCCACCACAGGTATCCATTCCAGGGGTGTCCAGGTAGCACCCCACGGCAAGACTTGCCCCAGGCTCGTCGTATACTCCAACTTGGTCGACACAACCCTCACCCTCCACGCACCCAAGTCACACACGCAGCACTCTCCCCAATCACCAGTTTCCACCACGCATCAATGTAGTGTAAGCATAGTAGAAGTAATAAGCAATGAAATATAATAGCAAGCGTGTGACTAGCCTAACAGCAGGGTGAGCAGGGGTAAGGTTGCGTCAAGGTAAAGGCCATCAAGAAAGCATACTACCATGCAAGTCCTACCATAGTGTGATATGACAATAAAGTAAGCACTAGCATTTCTACTTTAGCCATGCGTAATAGGTGCTATGAGATTGGGTGGGATGTGGCACCTTCAGTGTAGTCGTCCCCGTACTCCTCACGGTACTCACGATCCTTGTCCGTCCGGTTTTCCTCCGAGTCTGCAAACGATCGTATTATAGTCGCGTTAGCGACGTCTATGGAATAGCACAAAGAAGCAATGAAAATTCAAAAGAGCCAAATGCACTCAAACATGGGTTCATTGCGTAGAGCTCGATTTTAGAGGAATTTTGGTTCTGGTGTCGTATTTTTCCGAGGTCGTATGAATTAGTTACGAATTTCCGAAGATTAATTCCATTTCTGAAAATGAAAAAGGCTGAATTAATCCTGGGCTGACACGTGTCACGCTGTGGTTGGTCCACGTGGCTTGCTGACGTCAGCATGATGTCAGCATCACGGTTCCGAGCTGGCAGGTGGGGCCAAAGGCTATTGGGTCACTGGTAGGTTGGTCCGGTCAAGTCAACGTCGGTCAACGTTCAGGGTCACTAACGTGTGGGTCCCACGTGACGTCATCACGACGCCAGCATCTGACGTGTGGGTCCGAACTGGGCTCTGGTGGGCTCGAGTTGGGCCGGTCTGGGCCGGGCCGACCCGGACACGTGGCGTGCTGTGGCTCTGCCACGTCGTAGTCGTGGGTTCTTACTGGGCTGTGGTCCACAGGCGTGGTCCACGGTGGACGCAAGTTCACGGTCCATGGACCTAAGGCAGGGTCCATGGTGGACCAAGTCCATCTCTCTCCTCTCTCTCTGTGGTTCACGTGCACCGGGTGCATGGGCATGTGGCCGGCGAGGGGAGGTGTTTCCCTGTTTCTTACCGTGGCGGTGCTCCTGCCGGCGGCGGGCTCTCGGTGAGCCCCCGCGGTGGCGCTGGTGTCCGATTGGGGAGGGGAAAAGCTTCCCTGGACCACGGCGACTATGTCAGTGGGGTCAAAGTGGCGGCCAGAGCTTCCCCAAGGTGCTGGCCACGGCGAACGGCGGCTCGAGCTCCACCGGCGTGCGGGAATGGCGCGGGGCTGTGGCATAGGCCGGTTCTGTGGTGCGCGTGGGCGACACAACACCCCAACGGGCATGTTGGGCAGGTCGAGGGGTCCTCCAGGGCCTCCGGTGGCTTTGGCCACGGCGGCGCCCTTCCGAGCTCGATGGCGGTCTCAGTGAGGTGTCTACGGTCATGGTAAAATGTCTCGGCAGGGCATGCACGCTTCTACGGATTCGTGGGAACACGGCGAGGTCATCCAGACTCAAGGCGAGGCTCGGTTCTCCTATGGCCGGTGGGGACATCCTGGCGGCCACGGTGACGATGAAGACGACGGCGAGGCACGCGGGTGAACCACAGGACTCCAGCGGGGTGGTCACGGCATGCGCGTGAGTTACCCGCGGCTTCAGCGAATGGGATAGGCGAGTCCAGGAGGCGCCAGGCGCTCCCAGTAGTACTGTCCATGGTGGTCGGTGCTCTGACCGGTGGTCGGGTGCTCGAACGGTGGTCTGGTGCTCGGCATGGTGGTCTGGTGCTCGAAGGTGGTCTGGTGCTCGGCACGGTGGTCTGGTGCTCGAACCGGTGGTCGCGTGCTCGGACCGGTGGTCACGTGCTCGGACCGGTGGTCTGGTGCGCCATGGCGGCGGCGTCGACGGCGATGCGCACGCTGGTGCGCTATGGGCTCCGGTGGGGTGTCACGGTGATCTCGGTGTGCGTGTGGGTGCATGTGTTCCAAGTGGCTGAGGCAAGGCACTGGCCTACGTGCTTCCAGGTGTGGAGTGCCATGGCCGACGGTGTGGTTCAACGACAGAGAGGGATCGGAAGACTCACCGTAGGTGTTGTGGGAGATAGGATGGCGGTGCAGTGTCAATTCGAGGCCGTGTAGCTCCGGAAGCCGTGCAGTGCCGTGCCGACCCGCGTCGGTGATGTAGCCAACGGCGTCGCTCCCGGCTCCGGCGATCTCCTCCCCTACGGCGGCTTCGGCGTTATTCCCCCCCCCCTTCTTCCTCTTCTCCCTCTTCTCTCTGGGTTTGGGTGCGTAGTGGATGGCCACCGAGGTGGCGGCGGGCAACGGGACGAGCGCTAGGGCTCCGAGGACCGTGGCCTTTATAGCCGAGCTCGGCCATGGAGCTCGGTGATGGTGGCCGAGGATCAAGGGCAATCGTGGCGCTTGCTTGCATCCTACGGTCACGAGGGTTGCGTGGGCGCAAGCGCCAAGGGGAGACAGTCCATGCCCGAGCATGACCCACGCCCACCCCGCCATTCTTGTCGGGGCTCTGTCATTGACGGTGGTTTGAGCGCGTGGGAAGAAAGCATGATGAGCGCCGACGTCTGGGGTCCAGTGACGTGGCCGCATAAGCGGAGACAGGAGAGGCCTTGCGGGCATGGGCAGCGTCTGGTGACACCTGTGAGACCAAGGTGGCGGCGACCATAAGCGAGGTGACGGTAGCCATGAGCGTATTGGGGCATAATTTGAGCCGGTGATGAGCGAATGAAGCGCTGCGTGGTAGCGTTAAGCGAAGTGGGCGGTGGTTGGTGGGCGGTTCTTTGGTCGTCGTGGGTTGAGTTGAGCAAATTTGGTGGGAGGCCTTCTTCTCTTCTTCCTTCTCTATTTTTCATTTCTTTTCCATTTGTTTGAATTCAAATTTGGTTTGAAATTTGATCTCACAGCTGAGGTGACTTATTCATTGGAGTTTAGGGAATTTTGTTTAATAATAACTTTATGATTTATTATTTTAATGGAATTGTTAGGCATAACATAAAGCAAATGGAAATCCAATTCACAACTTGAATTAACAATGTATGCAACATGTTATTTGTTGGAAAATTCAATAATCATAATCAACAAATGATATGCCATGCTTATGTGTTGACTTAGGTTAGGTTACTTCTAAGCCAACTCTTAGGGTTGGCTCCTACAATGTCACTCATCATCACATGAGAGTTTTAAGAAAAATTTTGTAGTTGCGATTTTTGGTGTGTGGATTTCTGGGTTGTTACATACAAGGGACAAATGTGTGGCACAATGTATTACATCCATGCGCATGGCAAATAAGTGATGGTGTGTATCCTTAAATCTATTTAATACATAAAACGTGGTCACGCAAAACTTCACATTATGATGATACGTTTGATGATTTCTCGTCCTGCCATGTTTTAGCCTTCTCAGCCCAATTCCCAATGATTGGTAACAAGCATTTGGATGTGATGTCCTTCTTGTTGGTGTGTGATGTAGTGTGGATGGGCTTCCAGAGTCTCAAGCTGCCTCAAACAACCCAATGAATTCGGCAGCCTAGAGATCTCAGTGCATCCTCGTAGGGAAAGATACTTGAGGCGGCAAAGCAGCTTCATCATTTGTTTGAGGTCTTCATCTTTTAAACCAGATGCATCCTCAAGATCCAGAACCCGAAGTAACCTCATCCTATCAGAGATGAAGAATGACCTCCATTCTCCAAACACTGTCAAAGACCGTAGCCGCGAGAAGTCAATGCTCTCAAACACAATTCTGTCTCTGTCCCAGCTTTTCAGTATGATGACGTGACGCCCCGTGCGCTGAGAGGTTAGGGTGCAACTAAGATGAAAACGGCGGAAATATCCCGAATCGAACCGCATTATTTTCTATATTTAATCCGATCGAATCCGCATTTTCTTGTCCGACTTTACCGTTTTCGCTTTCGCATTTAAGATGTTTCGTATTTCAAATGTAAAAGTAGAAAACGGTTTAGACATTTTTCGGCCGTTTTCTATTTTTCTACTTTTAATTTGAAATATTCCGAATTAAAAATTCGGTTTAAACCGAATTTGACCAACTGCATAGGTCATACAGCCCAATTACAGGTTGTTCACCACGCAGCTGCGTTCTTTTTACTGCTGGCCAGCTGCCCTCTCTTATAGACGACGCCCAGCCTCATCTCTCTTCACCTCACGAGATGGTGCTAAATGTCAGGAAACCAGCAGCATCTACACGAAAGCCCACCTGGGCCATAGCCCATCAAGCTCATTGGTTTAACCCCCACCTGCAAAGTCAATCATTTGATAGTTTTTGCATCAGCCGAATAAATATTTGTTACTCAAAAAAAAATCTGAATAAATCTTTAAAATAAAATACTACATCTATTCTAAAAAGATTAATAAAATTATTCTGACTCGGTTCAAGTTCATGTTTCTATAGTATGCACTTGTTAATTATTATATGCACTTAAACTTGATCATATATGCACTTGGTCAACGGGTCGGTATTCCGTATTGAGTTTTCGTATATTGACCGTGTTCGACATAAATCCGCTCAAATTGGTTCGTTTTCGAAATTCTCGATAATTCGTAAATTCGCGTTCATTTTCGTGTCCGGTTTTACCGTTTTCGCTTTCGTTTTCGTATTTTAAATGTAAAAGTAGAAAACAATTTATGAGTTTTTCGACCGTTTCCGACCGTTTTCATCCTTAGGCGCAACTGCCTCCCAGTTCAAATACAAGGTTCTCTTCCATTTGACGTGAGAAGATATACTCTCGGACAAAACTGTTGACTTGGCACAAAGTCACTCTTCTGCCACCGAATGCGGAGGTGACTGAATATGTTTTCAGCATTATTATGCTCAGATCGAGGAGCCTGTAGAAGAAGTGCTCCCCTCTCTCCTCCGCAGAAATTTTGTCCGTGTCCCTGGCATAGCCCTCTGCAATCCACCGTCTCACCAATCGCCTTCTCCGGATGATGTGATCTCTAGGAAAAAATTGACAGATAGAAGATACATGGCTTGAGGAAATCCGGGCAAGTTCGAAAGTAGGAGTGCAGTCAAACAAAGAGTGGCTGCAGGCAAGCAAACTCTGGGCTGCTCTCCAGCTCTTGCATAAATTTGAGATTCAAAGAACTTGCACTATCCATCCATGTGCCTGTTTTAGGTGCCAAAAAGATAGCTACGGCAACTATCACTTTGGGAAGACTGCCGCACTTCAAAATAAGTTCTTGTAGCTCTTCATCTTTGGAGTCCTTTATAGGAGATGATGGTTTTTGCCTTTGTACCTAAAGTAGAAGGACAAATGCTTTCAGCATGGTAAGCAAAATGTGTTTTCATTCACAAAATGTATGCACATAATGAACATACGCTTCATAGTCAACTTGATATATGCATTAACATATCACAGAATAATGGAAATATATACATACTGAAATTGTTCAGTAATAATTGTTTTTTTGAGGGAATTCAGTCATAATTGTCTTAACTACAAATGCAAAATGAAGTGAAAGGAAAAGGCAGAAATACATTACTATTTTACTACAATTAGTTTCTTGCTTTAACAAAAACAAAATCTATTTATATCGTGTCTGGTAAAAGTGAAAGACAACCGAAGAATTTTCCATAAAAATATATTATTTTGGTCCCTATTACCACTTAAAACAACATCTGGCCCTAAACATTTTTATGTTCTATGCAAATGTCATTTTAGATGAATTCCATGTATGCATATTTATCCTGATAAAAAAAATATTAGACAAATTAATCTTATGGCAATAATAGCGCCAACAAACATGGGAATCCAGTATTCAAATGTAATATTGGCCAAAATTTAATATTGACAGCTCTGACCATGCAGAATCTGCTATGCAACTTAGTTATAAATTTGAAATTTTCAGGAAAATTGGAGAAATGGTGAGAGCCTGCCGATTGATGGAAAGGTTATTACCATTTTCATTCCTTTCTTCCCGCTTTAAAGATAAACATTCCCTCTAGTTTTGAAGCTTTTAGTCCCAGCCACTCTTCCTGTACAACTACAAGTTGTGGGTTGCATGCAAAATATGCCCCATGGCTATTTATTAGTGTAGGAGGAATAGAATTAGGTTGAATTAGATTATTTGCATTGAGCCTCTGGGCAGTATATACAGAGTTTACATGACTTGGGGGATCAAGCAGGTACACAGGATCATAATCCCAGCTAACTCTATCCTAGTCATGATATACTCCAACAATTAGCATTCGTTCTCAAGGGAGAGATAACAGCTTCAGGTTGTTCTAATCAAATGAATGAATGGGCAAAGAAGGTGAGAAGGGACTTTTGCATCAGAATTTAAGTTTGTAAAAAACATATGTACCCAGGAAATTATGTTGAAATGATGTAGAGCAGATTCTTATTTCTGAATAAGCCTACCTGCTTTTTGAAGAGCTTGAGGGCTGCTTTGTCTTCTAGACCTTTGACATTAAATATGACCCCTTCATTGTCTGCACAATGTGTGGCGATGCTTGCTTCAGTTGTAATGACAATGATAATAATCGCTCAAAAAACATGACAATGAGAATACTTCTAGAAGGTCTAGACAACAAGGCAGCTTGTATTAAGTCCCATTCTTCCATGGACTGCAGATCATCAATAACAAGGCACCGGTTATCCTCTATAATCTTATGACACTCTTGAGTAGGGTCTCTGATTCCCATGTCTTGAACAGGGTCTGAATAAAAATCCAAAAGCAAACTCCGGGAGAAGTCCCTTAAATTGAATGGGTAGGTTACATCGACCCAACCATACTTGTCAAAGTACATGGTCCTAACGAGGGCTGATTTCCCAACACCGGCAATCCCCCAGACAGACATCATTTGCAAACCATTGACATATGCCTTAGCAATATAGTTACCAAGTTGGTTCATTTCTGACTTGCGTTCAACAAGTTGAAAATTCTTCACCCAATCTGAGGCGGCCTTCCGTTTAGATGCTGGAATTCTGTAGTAGGACAGGCCAGTACCGTGGGTTGCATCAACCTGCATTGATATTTCATTGCTGTTGTCTACCACTCTATCAGATTCCATGCTTTTATCACCATCACCTTGCAAACCCTGAAACGGAAGATTGGTACAGAACCATATAAAGGAATTAAAGACCAAGGGAAGGCGATTTGCAAAGAGTGGAATAGGAAAGGAGCAGCAACAATGTTTCTGTGCCGAAGTCCTACATATTAATGGATACTTTAAGATTACAGTATGTGCAGGTTCTGAAGTTCTTTTTTTTTCTCCAAAAGATTACAGTATGTAGTCAAGATGAGATGCTTCTCTGGTCTCCGCTCTACAATACTATTTCGCTTGCAAGAAATGGAATTGATGAGCAGCAAATGAATACTCCCTCTGACCTAAAAAGAATGCAATTCTTACTTTTTGAGAAGTAACAATTTAAGTTTGACAAACCTTTTAAAAATACTAATATTTATGATACCGAATAATTATCATTAGATTAATCATGTAATATATTTCATAGTACACCTATCTGGAGACATAATATTGATAGTATTTTCTATAACTTAGTCATACTTAAAAAAAATGACTTAGTTCAGATCTACAATTGCACTCTTTTCGGGATGGAGTAGTTATAAAAACAGCATAAACAACACTAATGATTACTTTTGTCATTTTCATCCCTTCCAACTGAAATTTAGTTTAACCTTGAACACTAACATTGTTCTAGTTAAATGATGTTAAAGGTTACCTCCTCGAAGAAGACGCATACAGAGTGCTCTGCTGAGACTGCTTCACCTCCCATACTTGGTATAAATGCCCAATGCACAAGCTTGCAATTTCACACTGCTGCTTGGATACAATGACCCAACTGCCATTCTTCCTGTCTGGCAGGTAAGTCCTGATGGTGTCCCAATATCCAATTGTGGACATATTTTCCAGGACGACTAGGTATCTGTTCTCATTTACTTTGTCCATAAATGCCTCAATGAGTCCGCCTTCCATTGTCGCCATTACCTCAATCCTCTTCAGTTCATCCACATTAATAACGATTCATTTTTGCAGGCAACTGTTTGTGTAGAACTGAGCCACCATACTGCAGAGGAACTCGTGGGGATTGAAAGGTTGTGTAAGCTTCACCCAGCCACAACATTCAAATTTTCGACAGAGTTCTGGGTCCTGGTACGCCTTTCTGATGATGGATGTTGTACCAAGTTCACTGCCTGTTCCCCACACTGAGATTACCCCAAGGTCAGTTTGTTCCTTTGTGAGTAGCTGGGTGAGGTCTCCTAAACCTTGCTGCTTTTTTGCGGTGTCCCTCGCCTCAACCAGAATGCCAAGCACCATTGTGCCAAAAGCAGTGTTGGGTGCCGTCTGTTGCTGCATGATGGGCTTGGATCCAGAGTCGCTGATGAGGCTGTAGCGTGAGTTCCTTCGGCTCAAGTCCTCAACCCTAACCTTGAGCTGCTCTATCTCAGTGACCACCTCGTCTAAGGGTAATGCTGATGCTGCCAAGCAAGGTGGCAGCATGTGGCGCCACCAGCTTGACTTGTTGTCCAGGTGGGTGACAAACTGCCAGATCACGAACCTGCCTCACCCAGGTCCTCACAATGTTGTTCTTGACACGCTCCTCATTGGCAACATTGAGGAAGGAGTGCATCATCTCAAACTCACCAGCAATGAACACAAGGTTGTGCTGCACACTTTGCTGCAGTTTTGCCTCCTCCTCAATCGCCGACTGAGCCTTAGTCAGGGCCCCCTCCAACACCGTCTTTACCAAGCCAACCACAAGGTCTGCCGTTGCTCTTACAGTCTCTGATTCTCTCCTTAGTGATAATAGCTAGCTAGGAATTGTCTGAGCACCTACAGATGGAGATGTTAGTCATCTAAAAAGCTGTTAATTGGACTTTGTTTATGTTATGACCAGGGTTCAGTACACCCGGAGGAGGGCCATTAGTGGCTAGAGGCGCAGGGAATTACGGGCTTGGCCCAATTTATTATTATTTATTTCCTATTATTAGCAAGGAGGAGAGTTATATAAGCAGATGTAAGACACTTTGTGATGGGAGGAAAAAAGAGCAAACATAATTGCTCGGCTTCCTTTAGGGAGCCAGGAGACCCCCAGTAGCCCTAGCTGCCTCCTTCTCTTCTTCTGCGCGCAACCACGGCGCCCAGAAGCCGTCGAGCGTGCCTCCAGCCTCGCCCTCCCCTCTCTCACTCGTACAACCTACGAACTCGCATCGGTAGGGATCGGATTCCTATCAATCGGCTATCAGAGATCTCTGGTTCGATCATGTCCAGCCCTCTACCGAGTTCTTCCCACCCGCCGCCGCCGCACACCCACCCGCCGCCACCAGCGTCTTCGTCGGTGCTGCTGCCCCACACATCAGGCGCGCCGGCATTGGGCGCGTTGGCGTCCATAGGGAAGATCGCGCCCTCTGCCCCGGCGCCGTCGTCTCTCGCCGCCCTCGTCCTCACCCCGGAGTAGATCACGGCCGCAATCCTGGAATTAGGGCAGGCCATGGCGGTCATCAGGGCCTTCCTCGTCGGGCCCTATGAGCCCCAGCCACAGCCCTAGCTGCCACCTCCTCTGCCGCCACACGAACAGCAGCTACCCCCGCCGCCGCCACCGCCCTCGGCCGCGACTACGGCGCCGGTCATCTCGTACCAGTATGGGATGCCCTACGACGGGACTGCGACGACCTCGTTCCCAGCCACGCCGCCGCCGTCCCAGGGCGTCCCCATCCAGCAGATCAGGTTACCGTCGTCGCCGTCACCGCTTCCGGCTTGGATCGCCGGTTCGTCGAAACCCATCTACACGGCGCCCAGTACCCAGCCGCACCTACCGCCGCTCCCGACCACCGGGGCTGTCGTGGCGCATGGCGGCGCCCCAGCTCCAGGCGTCCTCTACGGCGGGGTGGACGGCCCCCTGTTCCACGGCGGCAGCCTGATGCCGACGCTCTCCGCCACGTCACCCTCGCTGGACAGCACGGGCGCGGCGCCCTCGGCCGCCGCACAGGACCCGCCACCGCCCAAGTTTTACAAGTTGGAGTTCGCCACATACGACGGCTCCATTGATCCCCTAAATTGGCTCAACCAGTGTGAGCAATTCTTTCGGGGTCAACGCACGCTCGCCTCCGACCGTACCTGGCTCGCCTCCTATCATCTCCGGGGGGCGGCCTAGACTTGGTACTACGCCCTCAAGCAGGACGAGGGCATGCCACCGTGGGAGCGCTTCAAGGAGCTGTGTCGTCTGCGCTTCAGCCCTCCGATCCGCGGGAGTCGGCTGGCCGAGCTGGGTCGGCTGCCGTTTGTTTCCACTGTGCAGGAGTTCGCCGATCGCTTCCAGGCAGTGGCATGTCACGTCCGGGACGTCTCCACGCGTCAGCGGGCCGAGCTCTTCGTTGGTGGCCTTCCGGATCATATCCGGGTGGACGTGGAGATGCGCGACCCCCTGGACCTCCAGACGGCCATGTACTACGCCCGGGCGTTCGAGCGTCGTGCGGCTGCCATGCAGCCAGCGCCGCCTCCTCGAGCTGCTCCTTCGGCTCCGCGTCAGGGTCAGCCTCCTCCAGCGCGCGCACTCGGGGCGGCCCAGGTGGGACAGGCCCCCGCTGAGGCCAATGCGGCCCCCGCGGCGCGCCCGTTTCGCCGCCTTACACCGGTGGAGCAGCTGGAACGTCGTCGCCAAGGACTATGCTACAACTGCGACGAGCCCTACGTCCCTAGGCATGTGTGTCAGCGGCTCTTCTACCTAGAGTCCGGGGACTACATTGAAGAGGACGCCGTGCCCGCCGAGGACGGGGACGCGGCCATACCACCAGAGGAGCCGGCCGCCCAGGGGCAGGCGGCCACTAACGCTCTCGTCGTGTCCCTCCATGCACTTGTAGGTATCCGGACGGAGAACACGATGCTGCTGCCGGTGATGGTCAAGGGGGAGCGCCTCTTGGCCCTTCTCGATACCGGCTCCACCCACAACTTCCTCCAGGGCGCAACCATGCACCGCCTGGGGCTTCCGCCCACCGGGGGGGCGCAGCTCCACGTCACCGTCGCCAACGGCGATCGCCTGCGTTGCGAGGGCATCGCCCGTCACATCCACATCAGCATCGGGGCCGAGGACTTCTCCATCACATGCGTCGGCCTCGACTTGGGCTGCTTCGACTTCATCCTCGGCGTCGACTTCCTGCGGACCTTGGGCCCCATTCTCTGGGACTTCGAGGCCATGACGTTGGCCTTCTGGCACGAGGGTCGCCGCGTCCTCTGGAAGGGCGTGGGCGGCTCTGACTCGGCCGCGCCCCAGCAGCATGTGGCGGCGACCTCCATCGACTCTCAGCAGCCCTTGCTGGACCGCCTACTGCAGCAGCACGGCGTCATCTTCGAGGAGCCGCAGGGCCTTCCACCGGCCCATCCATACGACCACCGCATCCACCTCCTGCCGGACACCGCTCCCGTCGGCCGTGCGCCCGTACCGCTACCCCCAGCTGCAGAAGGACGAGCTGGAACGGCAGTGCGAGGACATGTTCACCCAGGGCATCATCCGGCCTAGCACTTCGCCGTTGTCGGCGCCCGTGCTCCTTGTCCGCAAAGCGGACAAGTCTTGGCGCTTCTGCATCGACTACCGCGCCCTCAACGCCAAGACGTCCAAGGACAAGTTCCCGATACCGGTCGTGGATGAGCTTCTCGACGAGCTCCATGGGGCTCGCTTCTTCACCAAGCTCGACCTGCGTTCGGGCTACCACCAGGTGCGGATGCACCCCGACGACATCGCCAAGACCGCCTTCCGCACACACCACGGCCACTACGAGTTCCTGGTGATGCCTTTCGGCCTCTCCAACACCCTGGCGACATTCCAGGTGTTGATGAACGACGTCCTTCGCCCCTACTTGCGGAGGTTTGTGCTGGTCTTTTTCGACGATATTCTCATCTACAGCTCTTCGTGGGCGGAGAATCTGCAGCACATTGCCATCGTCCTCAACGAGCTTCGGGCGCACCGTCTTCACCTTTAAGGGCTCGAAGTGCTCGTTCGGGGCGACGTCCGTGGCCTACCTAGGCCACGTCATCTCTGCGGACGGCGTCGCCATGGACGCCGACAAGGTGGCGGCGGTCGCTGCGTGGCCCCCGCCGCACTCCGCTCGGGGCCTCCGGGGCTTCCTGGGCCTGGCAGGCTACTACTGGAAATTCATCCGGGAGTTCGGCCTCATCGCGGCGCCCCTGACACGTCTCTTGCGACGAGACGCGTTCGCCTGGGACACGGAGGCAGAGGAGGCCTTCCAGGCGCTTAAGCGCGTCCTCACCACCGGGCCCGTCCTCCAGATGCCCGACTTCGACAAGCTATTCATGGTGGACTACGACGCGTCCGGCGTGGGGTTTGGCGCCGTTCTCCACCAGTCTTTGGACCTCTCCGTTCTTGGCCAAGAAGTCGTTCGCCGCGCCATCTCAAGCTTCGCGGCTTACGAGCTGAGGAAGCTCATCGAGTTGGTGCAAGCATGCGCCCTTGGCGCCCGTGTCGTGGGGCGCCACTTCCTTATTCGCACTAACCGTTACAGCTTGAAGTTCCTCCTGGACCAGCGCTTGTCTACCGTTCCGCGGCACCAGTGGATCAGCAAGCTATTCGGCTTCGACTTCACCGTCGAATACCACCCCGGGCGCCTCAACACCGTGGCGGACGCCCTGCCCCGCCGCGACGCCGAGCACGGGGCCGAGGAGGACAGCAGCGTGGGCACGCGCCATGTGCGCCCGCTCGAGCCCTTCGCCGCTTTCGCCAGCGACATCCGCCGCGCCACGGCAGCGGCAATGGCGGACGCGCGGCTACTCGCCGGCGCCTTGAGGCGGGCGACCTACAGGGGCCGTGGCGCCTTGACGACGGGCTGCTCCTGCATGGTAGTCGCCTCTTCGTCCCCGACCACGGCGACCTGCGCCATCAGGCGCTCCTTTTGGCGCACTCGGCCGGGCACGAGGGCGTTCAGAAGATCCTCCACTGCCTACGCTCCGACTTCTACATCCCCGGCGATCGCGCTATTTGGTGCGGGATCAGGTGCGGTCTGCAATTACTGTCGCCGCAACAAAGGCGGAGACCTGCGGCCGGCGGGACTCAGCAGAAGCGGTGGAGGTTCCGTCCCAGGTATGGGCGGATATCTCCATGGACTTCGTCGAGGGCCTCCCGAAGGTGGGCAGCAAGTCCGTCGTACTCACGGTGGTCGACCGCTTCTCCAAGTACGCGCACTTCATCGCGCTCGGCCACCCCTACACCACCACCTCCGTCACTCGCGCCTTCTTCGACGGCATCGTCCGGCTCCACGGGTTTCCCTCCATCGTCAGCGACCGGGATCCGGTGTTCACCGGCCACGTCTGGCGCGACCTCTTCCGGATGGCCGGCGTCAAGCTGCGTATGAGCACGGCTTTCCACCCGCAGACTGACGGCCAGTCCGAGGTGGTGAACAAGGTCATTGCCATGTACTTGCGGTGTGTTATAGGTGACCGCCTGCGTGCGTGGGTGGACTGGCTCGCCTAGGCGGAGTACTGCTACAACA